ATGGCCAAGTTCCTGGAAGATGAACAAGGACTGAACGAGGCAAAGATGCTTCAGTACAATGCCGGCCAAAGACTGTCCCCAAATAGAAGTACAGAGATTTGGAGGAACGACTAGATACCTTGAAGTTCAGGCTTGCAAATAACCACCCGACATTGATGGAGTACCTGGACAATGACAGATAGACAGACAGACAGTCACACAGGCTTTATTCAGTAGTTAAGGCCCAGTGGCCCAGAGTACAATTGAAGTTACTCAATTACAACTATTGGTCACGTGACATTAAATTATGATTTTACATGTGATTTACGGATGGACATCAAATGTTTCATGAAAATGGCAACAGATTTAATAATATCAGCATTATTAGAATTAAGTACATTGAATATCGTTTGTGGGACATCATTAGTGCATTTTAAATACTTCTTTCGGCAGGCAGAGAAAGTCTTACAGACTAATAATAAGTGTCGTTCGTCTTCAGTTTTACCAGAAGAACAATAAGAACATGATAAATCTTCCAATATATTATTATCTTTTCTAAAACGTTGTATTTTTAAGGCATGAAGAGCGATTTTAAATTTGCAAAAAAAAAAATCTTAAAAGGGACTTATCATTAAGAACACTGACATATTTTGCAGGTCCGAACATCGATTTACATTGTGAATAATGACTAAGAAAACTGGATGAATTGACTGATGCGTATCAACTCTGAATATATATCTTTTATTCGTTGTTTAAATGTTGACAAAACATTTTGTATCACCAACATTTTGCTTAAATCAAACATGAGAAAACTCGCTTGAAAATAACATATTTCTCACATCTGAAGCCCATGAATACTTTCCACATTTATCCAGTGATAACAATATTTGACAGCTTTGATGGGGGTAGCGATAATCAGGCATTCTTATAAGTTTAGTCCAGTATCTAATAACTCTCATTTGACTCTCAATATGCATGTTATAGCATCCTGTTTCGCCAAGTATGGCTTTATTGGAAGCAAATATACCTTCTGTAAGAAATCTTTTAAAATAAGATGCATGGACATTTTCAATGGCTTCGAAATAATTTGCTCCCCATATTATATGGGAAATTATGACATGATTATATATGTTAAAAGAAATATACTAAATCACAACCTTTTGTAATATGTTATAAAGGATCAAAGAAAGTTAGATTTACACGCACACACATTCTTATTCTAAACCGTAAACAACACCATCCCAAATCCGATAGCCAGCGCGTATGCATATGCTTAAATTTGCTAGCACACATGAAAGGCAAAATGGTATTATATCTACTAGTACCTAAATACTTCTTTATAGAGTCGCAAAGCGTAGTATTTTAAGCAAACACGTTGCTCGAAGTGAAGCCTTCATTTCTATATATTCTCAACAAACACACTGTGTCACAAGCGTTCGGTCCGGGTTGGCTCGAGTCGTCAAAAGCACCTAACACCTCAAAGGTGTATCTTTAATTGTGCTTAAATCCATAGATTAGTATTATATCTACCTACATATCACATTGAAATGTTACAAAATGCCACATGTAAAGGTAACTGCTCCGTTAAAGTGAAGCCCTTGTCTGCCCACCCTCAAAATAGCCTCAATCAAAGTGTTCAGTCTGTTCGGCCCGACTTGGCGGGCTGTCAAAAAGCAACAAACCTCACACATGTATCTTGAAATGTGTTTAAATCCATAGATCATCATTATATCTACCTAAATGCCACATTGTGATGTCACAAAGAAAACTGGGTCTATAAAGTGGTATTTAGATGGATATAACTATATTCATTGGATGTAAACAGAATCTAGGATTCATCTGTGAGACTTCAAGATACATGTGCGAGGTTTAAGTTGCTTTTGACAGCTCCGGCCAAGTGCGGCCAACAGAAACTTAACACTTTTGATTGAGGCTATGTTGAAAATAGAGAGTGAGTGAGTGAGTGAGTTTAGTTTTACGCCGCACTCAGCAATATTCCAGCTATATGGCGGCGGTCTGTAAATAATCGAGTATGAACCAGACAATCCAGTGATCAACATCATGAACATCGATCTGCGCATTTCGGAACCGATGACATATGTCAACCAAGTCAGCGAGTCTGACCACCCGCTCCCGTTACGACAAGCATGGGTTACTGAAGGCACTTTCTAATCCGGACCTTCACGGGTGAAAATGGAGAGAGGAAGGGGCTGGAAAAGTGATATATAGGTAGATGTAATACTAATCTGTGAATTAAAACGCAATTCAAGATACATGTGTGAGGTTTAAGCTGCTTTTGACGGCCCGAGGTATGCCGGACCGAACAATAGTGGCGGTGATTATGTTTAGAGTGTGGGGAAGAGATCGTTTCATTTGCAGATGGGTATGCCTTACATACAATGAACAGTGGCCTTCTAGGGTGGTATTTGATTGGATATAGGTGTAAAAACATTTTCGGGTGGACAGAAATGTTTATCGGGAGTGACTGAAGCATTTTTGCGTTTTAAATCCTGTTTCGTTTAACGATTCTTCTTTTAGACGTAACCTTGGTCAGCCACGTTCAGAGGCCGATAACCACTCGATATAGTCCGACGTCGCCCACGACGTCGCCCGTTATTTTTGTAGCCAAAATATATTTTACAAAGCGCGACGTCGTCTTTTTTATGCGACGTCGTGGGCGACGTCGCCCACGACGTAGTTCTTTTTTTACGCGCCACGCGATGGCAATTATAGGACACCATATTTCCGGGATCTTGTTTCGACACTCAGGAGGGTGCCCTCGCTTAACGCACAATTTCAATAAATAGACTCTGCCAAATGGCAAAACCTGATATACCTTCAAAAATAATGAAAATATGAGGGAAAACTTACCATTATTCTTGCGCCACATGTTTATCTTTCTCTGTCCAGTCAGGAAATGGAGTTGCCTTTATCCACCCTGTTATAAGCCTCCTCCTGAAACCCCTGTGTAACATACAGTATAAAATTTCCATACAAAATGATAAGTTGATAAAAAGTTGTAGGTTCTCCGAAATGGTTCTGGTGTATGCTAAACTGTCAAACGAAATATACTGCTTAAGAAAAATGTTTATCGTTCCATGTGTGAAACCTCTGATATTGAACTACTGTTTGCTCTTGGTGTGGTCTGTTTCTGATATTGAACTACTGTTTGCTCTTGGTGTGGTCTGTTTCTGATATTGAACTACTGTCTGGTCTTGGTGTGGTATGTTCCTGATATTGAACTACTGTCTGGTCTTGGTGTGGTATGTTCCTGATATTGAACTACTGTCTGGTCTTGGTGTGGTCTGTTCCTGATATTGAACTACTGTCTGGTCTTGGTGTGGTCTGTTTCTGATATTGAACTACTGTCTGGTCTTGGTGTGGTATGTTCCTGATATTGAACTACTGTCTGGTCTTGGTGTGGTCTGTTTCTGATATTGAACTACTGTCTCGTCTTGGTGTGGTATGTTCCTGATATTGAACTACTGTCTGGTCTTGGTGTGGTATGTTCCTGATATTGAACTACTGTCTGGTCTTGGTGTGGTCTGTTCCTGATATTGAACTACTGTCTGGTCTTGGTGTGGTCTGTTTCTGATATTGAACTACTGTCTGGTCCTGGTGTGGTATGTTCCTGATATTGAACTACTGTCTGGTCTTGGTGTGGTCTGTTCCTGATATTGAACTACTGTCTGGTCTTGGTGTGGTCTGTTTCTGATATTGAACTACTGTCTGGTCTTGGTGTGGTATGCTCCTGATATTGAACTACTGTCTGGTCTTGGTGTGGTCTGTTCCTGATATTGAACTACTGTCTGGTCTTGGTGTGGTCTGTTCCTGATATTGAACTACTGTCTGGTCTTGGTGTGGTCTGTTCCTGATATTGAACTACTGTCTGGTTGGTGTGTGGTCTGTTCCTGATATTGAACTACTGTCTGGTCTTGGTGTGGTCTGTTCCTGATATTGAACTACTGTCTGGTCTTGGTGTGGTCGGTTCCTGATATTAAACTACTGTCTGGTCTTGGTGTGGTCTGTTCCTGATATTGAACTACTGTCTGGTCTTGGTGTGGTCTGTTCCTGATATTGAACTACTGTCTGGTGCTGGTGTGGTCGGTTCCTGATATTAAACTACTGTCTGGTCTTGGTGTGGTCTGTTCCTGATATTGAACTACTGTCTGGTCTTGGTGCGGTCTGTTCCTGATATTGAACTACTGTCTGGTCTTGGAGTGGTCTGCTCCAGTATGATACACTTAAGCAGTGATAAGCTGATGGGTGTAAGTTATGTACAGGAGTGAGTGAGTGAGTGAGTTTGGTTTTATGCCGCTTTTAGCAATATTCCAGCAATATCACGACGGGAGACACCAGAAATGGGCTTAACACATTGTACCCATGTGGGGAATCTAACCCGGGTCTTTATGTACAGGACAAGGTGACACTAACACAACACACGCTACAGGAATGTGTAAAATTCTCCTGATGAGAACAACTAGTACAAGGAAAGATCCTCATCAGCACTTATCTTATATTGAACATGTTGGGAATTGAACATGTTGGGTATTGAACCTGGGTCTTCGGCTTGACAAGCCACTGCTTTAACCAATTGGCTGTGGTGCACATGGTGGGTTTGACGTTCCTTCAGTGGTGAGTTATAAGATTCATGACTTCTTTGATTGGCATTCTAGAAGTTGGGTAGATGAAGGATGAGGACTATTTTTATGGATATACTTCTTTATTCTGTATAGGCGACATTTCGACATAGATTCTAATGTCGTTGTCATCACTTGCTTGACAACAACATTAGAATCTATGTCGAAACGTCGCCTATGCAGAATAAAGAACTTGTATATCCATAAAAAGAGTCCTCATCCTTAATAAGATTCATGTTGGGAATTGAACCTGTGTCTTCCGCGTGACATGCGACCGCTTTAACCACTAGGCTACCCCGCCGCCCCACACTGCTGTGGTACACATTGTGGGTTTGTGGTTCCTTCAGTGGTGAGTAATAAGATGCAAACAAAACACAGCAGTTATACTCTGTACAGTTTATTCACACTCATGTTAGTGCACAATATCAAATCACAGTAGAGTCTGGAAGAATGTTCTTTATAAGATGCCATTCACAGAGTACTAGATGTACCTAGTCAAAGGGAGAGAACTGAGTCTAGCCAAAGGCTGCTGATCCCACACCTAAACCCTGGTATACCTAGCAGTTGTAGACATATCAATATCTTTGGTAGCCAGTTTCTTAACAAGCATAATGAATAAACAAGGATAACATGGCCTGTCTCATTTCATCAGAGGTAACATCACACACTCATTTGAGATGATAAATATAGCGACCAGCAATAACAAGGACAATTAAACTGTCTGTTTTAAAACATAATTAGAGTGATACTCTGTATTCTCATTTTCAATAAGATGACTTTCAAAAAATGTCAAAGAGTTAAGAATACTATTATTCAACCAAGGCTTATTTTCTCACTGCCTCTAATTTATCCCTTGATTATTTCATCAGAATGTACTGAATATGCATGTATAAGAATAGCAAAGATATGCATACAAACCTGCACATCAACAAGAAAATAAATCACTTTCGGCATATTACATGTACACTTATAAGTCGAAATGAACAAGAAAAGAAATAGCTAATATGAGTTACTGTGATCTGATCTGATACAGGCGACACACCACTCAGGTGTCCACTCGAACATACAGCCGGAATCCTAGCATCACACACACAGCAGAGACACTCAAGTTACACTACTCATCAAAACATATGTCAACACTATCATGGCACGAAATCTTAATAGCCTTGGCGTAGCCGAGGGATGTTAACTTTGAACAGCAGCGTACTACTGGTTAAAACAAACATCCCCACAATCAGGGATGTGGTGCCAAGTTTACTCATCAATATCATGATTAAGGGGACTCTTATTTTAAAGAGAAGTTTGTTACCATTCAAAACAAACATTCCATGACCACGCAGAGCCAGGAGCATTATCTCGGCAATTCTTGAGAATGGTAGTGTTCAAGTTCTTAACTCCACATACAGTACAGTATATAATTAATATAAATCATTAGGAACATGGAATCGAAAGTGAATTCAAAGCTGTGCCTCAATCTTTTAAAACTTTCAGTTAATAAAGAAGGTAAAAATTGATAAATGTCTTAAATGTAGTGTGGCTTACACATGATAAAATACAAGCTTGCTTAACCAAAAGCAGTGTTTTCTGGTTGATATATTCCATCCCTTAACATGCTTAACAAATAATAATACTTGATAAAATCACACTTCACAATGAATTTCAGCTATTTGGTTTCAAATATTTCACCCAATAAACCAATAGTTCCTGTTCACCTTAACAACTTTATAAAAGTCAGTGGCCATACATAAATGTCATGAAAAATCGATATCAGTTTGCAATAAAACATAGAAATTAAAATAAGTGAACACTGTTTTGACTCTATTACAATGTGACCATGAAAAATGCACCCAACATAACACCCTGCTAGCCTAGTGTTAGTGTAATCAATGTCACCTTTGTTCTGGGCTCATGCAATCAGCATCATAAACAATCATGTCAAAAAGTGGACAAAGACGAATATAGCTAATTACTAGCTAAAAGGAATGAAAAATAAATCTCTGAGAAGATACATTTCAAAACGTTGAATACCAACAATTGCCTGTGATTAAAATAAACATTATCACTCCATCAAAAGTTAGATTTGGGTACACAGTTTGAATGTACCATGATGAATGAAAGAGACAACTTTAGAGGAGCGCTCTTCAATGGCGGCACTGTGAGAGCAGCCTTTTCTAACATGTCTAATCATACCAATAAAATGCAGTAATTCACAACCATTTTGTAATCAGTACAAGTACGGAACCCAGCATGATTGTTTGGAAATGTAATATTCAAATTTTCTATACATACCATTCCTGCCCTTAGTGCCAACATATACACGTAACCATGGTAATATGACAGTTTATAAAACATAATATAGATGATATCACAATGACCACTGAAAGACATTCTCTGTACCGATTCCCAGGCCAATGAATGGCCGTCAGTATCTCTACATCACCAGGTCGTATCACACATTTGAAAATGACACTTCTAACATATGAACATGTAACATGAATAAATGCCCTGTTCTACACTATACAATAAAAACATTTCTAATTTTGATACTTCCACTTGATAGCTTTAACAACAGCACTTAACAAAGCTGGTGATACTTCATGTTTAGCACTGACATATCAAAAGCACAGTGTCCTCGATTCAATGCTGTAGGCATTTAGAGGTCTCATTTTCAAATATGTGAAAGTAAGAACACATTATCCATCCAAAGATACATTGTATCTGTGAAATATGTTCTTGGAGCATTCAAATTCCCAAAACCATAATATCCAACCAAACCAAGTCAAATAATACTAGCAATGTATATACTGTAACATTATTGGAGTTGTAAATTTAAGGATATAGTCAAACTTAACTGCAAATGTGTAATTCGTTTAGTAAATATTGTCTGAGGTACTTCATAAAATACTATAATCACTACTACACATGGTTGTGTATTAGATTTTGGGTAATTTGGGTGCACTAACAACAGGATTATTTTGTTCTAAAAGCTTGCGACCCTCGGTTTTGTAGTCAAACGTACAGTCATGGGACTCTGCATAGCGATGGGTAGCACAGAAGTTGTTGCCACACCTGCAAATAAACAATTTAAATAAACCTTCAGGAATAAGCACAAAAAAGTACTATTTTACACAAGCATAAAGGATAGTTATAACTGTGAACAACTACAAATAGGGATGAAACGCAACATTTTCCAATAAGTTTACCTTAATAATAGCTAAACTTTAAATGAACAATGAACTTTCAGGGAGAAGCAAAAACAAAAGAATTAATTACAAAAGCATAAAGGATAATTATAACTATGAACACCTTCAAAGAGAGATGAAATTGTACATTTTCCTATTAAGTTCACATATTTTCTTAGTCTTGATGAGTTTAGGACTCCTGATAGTAATAATCTGGTTGACAAAAATTACTCTCTGAAACAGTCAAGAACCATCACATTCTTTCATATAGTTATCTATTGCAGTTATAGTCATTTGGTTTAACGATAGTAACTTGAGTAATATGAAAGAATGGGATGGCCTTCAACAATATTTTAGCAGTATATTTCATCTCAACTTTGTCTCAGGATGTATAGTACCAAAGAAAGTGGTCCAGGATGATAGTGTTTCAAGTCAGGCCTGGACAGAGGGGATCAATGTTTTGAGTTACCACATTTACCAATCAGTTTGTTCATGTTGTCCTTGTGACTAGTAACACTATTCTGCTGAAAGCTGAAGATTAGTCTACATATAAAGTTTACAGAAAGTATTGTATTATTTTCCATACCATGGAAGAATTCAAAAAGTCTGTTTCAATAAAATAATACTAATGAAATTGCAGATTGCATGTTCTAGAAAAAAATCTATTCTGGTCAGAAATATAGGTGAGCTCAGTGTTAATGCTTCATTTACTTCAATCTAACAATGAAAGCCCTACCTCTAATACACAGAATGCCCCTGAAACATCAGAAAGCTTCTTGGAAATCAAGTGCAGAGAGCTATTTGTACCCTCCTCAAAGTCTCCTTGACTTGAAAATTGTGTCTTACCTGCACTGGTAACTTGTTGCCAGCCCGGTCTTCTTGGCGCACACGTAACACCGTTTGGATGCTTTCTTCTTGGCCTTAACTGGTGGAAGTCTGTGTGTGGGAGACAGAAGGCGACCATCTCGGCTTGCAGACAAGCGGTGGAGATGCCCAGACTGGAGGACGGAGACCAGGAGTTAGTGAGGCTTTAATCATGGCAATTCGGGGCTTGATCATGCTTAGAAGGACATCACAAACAGTGATGAGTGCATAACAAGTGAGCAGGAATGTCTAACCATCCATTTAATAATATGATATAATGCCATTTCAAATTCCAACAGACCTATACACCATGATAGTTTGTTGTAGTTGAGAGAAAAATATGTTGAATATATATTGAATTATCTCCCTTGGTAAATTCCATTCCATCAACTTTGTTTCCCGTGAGCCAGCCCATTTTTGATAAAAGACTCTAAAATGGGAAAAATCCCTACATTCATATGATGAATCAGTCTGTGACTCATAAACTACTCTATTCATGGTATGAGCTAACTTTGGGAGATGAAATGGACAAATACTTTCAGGAAAAGAAGAGAAAAGTAGATGTGGCTATCTTATAAGACATTTATGCATTAATTTTCCATATAGATGCAGAATACAGCCATTGATAAATCTGATATGACTTGTCAAGATTCCTCAATGAAAATTTAAAGAGTTGGATAATCTCTCAAAATAATGAAATTCCAACAGTCATCAAGTTAAATGTTACTGTTAGAGTTCTTGGGGATAAAAATATCATTTATACTAGAGTGATTAGTACAGGAAAAGGTAAAATTTCACTCACCATTAACCTTCCCTCAGGTGTTGGTACCCTTCCTTCCTGAAAGCCTGAATAGTTACTCAGACGTGACTTGCTAGCACTAGACACAAAGTTGCCAATATGAGAAGATCCTATTTTTTCTATGGAGGCTTGTCTGAGTATGCCAGACACTGTCCTGGCCTCACTTGTTGATAAACTTTCCAGGGCATACTCTTTCCTTCTCATATCCAGGCCCCCATAACGACTTGAGGTGGTGGGTCGCAGTACTGAATCTCGCAGGCCTAAACTTATGTCTCTCTTGCTTGATGAAGAACGTTTGAAATTATCAGAGGAATGATCAGCCGCCACTTTGACCTTCTCCTTAGAGGATGTAGCAGGTCGAAATGACTCCTTGAAACTTTCAAAAGTGAAGTCCTTTCTTCGTGAAGCAGAAGTGGAGGGAAGGTAACGCGTGGAGTCTGTCATGCTACTCAACCGGTACAGGTCCCGTTTCAGTACAGAGTTTACAAGAGAGTTTGCAGACTTTTCACTATCATCCACTTTCACTGCCTCATCTGTTTTCACATCCACTGATGTTTTCTCAACTCCTTCCAATACAGTTGCAGGTGATGACACTCTAGCACTGTCCTCTTTCAAGATATGAAGAGGCTGACCAAGTTTGTCCATGGAATCTGTTGTAGTTGACAAGGTTTCCACAGCTTTGTCTGCCACTGTAACGACCGACGGTACAGATGGTGAGGCGAGGAGAGCACCAGCTCCCCCATCTACACCTACAACGGCAGTGTCTGCATCATAGATGCCCTGGGCGGAAGGGAATGTGCAGCCGACTGAGGGGAGGACTGAGTTCTTGTTGAGTGTGTTGCTGCAGGGTCGACCGGCACTCGGCAACTGGCGAAGCCGGAGACGGCTGCTGGCTCTTCCTGAATGACTGGAGTGACTTGAAGAAGGTGGCTTTGGTGGTTTCTGGAAAACAAATGTAGACATGCGTTCCTTGTTAATAAAGTTTACAGACATCTGGGTCATGGAGCGAACATCCTTCTCACATTTATTGTGAAATAGACCTATAGCCCAGAATAACCAGTTAGATAGGACAAAGCATCTAATATATTCAGCTTCCTCCTTCATATTTCTTAGTCCCCATGTGACTGCCCAAACGGGACTGCCACACTGGACGAGAGAGAGGTATGGCCCACACAGGAGGGGAGTGAGGTATGGCCCACACTGGAGGGGAGTGAGGTACGGCCTATGCTGGAGGGGAGAGAGGTTTGGCCCACACTGGAGGGGAGTGAGGTATGGCCTATGCTGGAGGGGAGTGAGTTATGGCCTATGCTGGAGGGGAGAGAGGTATGGCCCACACTGGAGGGGAGTGAGGTACGGCCCACACTGGACGGGAGAGAGGTATGGCCCACACAGGAGGGGAGTGAGGTATGGCCCACACTGGAGGGGAGTGAGGCACGGCCTATGCTGGAGGGGGGAGAGAGGTATGGCCCACACTGAGGGGAGTGAGGTATGGCCCACACTGGAGGGGAGTGAGGTATGCGACCTATGCTGGAGGGGAGAGAGGTATGGCCCACACTGGAGGGGAGTGAGGTATGGCCTATGCTGGAGGGGAGAGAGGTACGGCCCACACTGGAGGGGAGTGAGGTACGGCCCACACTGGAGGGGAGTGAGGTACGGCCCACGCTGGAGGGGAGTAAGGGACTGCCACACTGGAGGGGAGTGGGGTACGGGCCACACTGGAGGGGAGAGAGGTATGGCCCACACTGGAGGGGAGTAAGAGACTGACACACTGGAGGGGAGTGAGGTACGGCCCATGCTGGCGGGGAGTAAGGGACTGCCACACTTGAGGGGAGTGAGGAGTGAGGTACGGCTCACGCTGGAGGGAAGTGAGGAGTGAGGCACCACCCACATAGGAGGGGAGTGACGGACTGCCACACTGGAGGGGAGTGAGCTACGGCTCACACTGGATGGGAGTGAGGTACGGCCCACACTGGATAGGAGTGAGGAGTTAGGTACCATCCACATGGGAGGGGACTGAGGGCTTGCCCTAAGTGGAGGGACTGAGTGGGGCTGCCTCAAATCTGACCTTTTTGGTGAGAGTCAGCTTCTCCATGTTGAGGCGCAGCTGTGTCACCTTCTGCTTCATCTTGTCATTCTCCTCAGACTTCTCCTTTGGCGACGAGTCATCTTCCTCTTCTTCCTCATTGAAGTTGTATACTGACGCACTGCAACAAAATACGCAGCACAAAGGCTCTGAACGAAGACAGTCAGAACTATTGTACATGTGTCCTAGATAGGTGGTCATTGCTCCTGTTCATTTACAACAGTTGTCATGGTTACAGTACTACTGTCATAACATATTGGAATTGAAAAAAGTATGTACAACCATCTTCTAAATGGCTTTCAAAGACCTCATATCAGTATTCACTGCTGAGCATATTAGTTTTACTCACATAACAATAATATATGTCAGAAATGTTTGAAGATACAGGAACCAGAATTTAAACATAATGAAACACCAACCTGAGTGACTCAGACAGCGGTGTGAGTGTCCCATCACCACGGTCTACAACACGGAAGAAGTTCAACTGATCTCCCTCCCGAAAAACTAGGAGGGTCACATGGCGGTTACCAGGCAACTTGTCCAGGATCTCTTCACGATTGGCTTCCATGTACTCCGCCATTTCCCTGAGGGCAGTATCCTCCACCGGGACTGTAACAAATATCACATCCTCATCACTGAGCACGTACTGAACTGCAGGTAGATTCCTCTAAAGCTCCATGCATGGATCTCCGGATATATATTTCAAACATTTTAAACATAGTGTTCACATATCTGTAGATGAAAGAGACCCAAACCAGAATGTCCTCAAGACATACATATAGATGTACTTTATAGTTTTGATATTGAAAAAAATTCAACAGTATTTCATGAAAAGTAAGCTGGTGAGACATGTGCCAGTTTCGTGAACAAGTTCAGTCACACCTTTGCTCACCACCTCTCCCCACCCATCCCTGCTGGGAAGAGAAAGTGTGAATACAAATGTTATCAAACATATCGTAAAACTCCTGTAAAATACGTTTGGAAACAATCTTTACACAATCTTTTCGTCAATGAACAGTTCTAAAGACATCATCTGAAACACCAGCTTAATTTCAAATGGAATTCAGTACAGATATTGTACAACACAACTTTTGATAGGGACATGACCATCCAGATCAGGAATAAATGTGATAGGTCCGTTCTTGTTCTCATAACGTTTTAGATGTACAAACTATATTCAGTGTCCCTCTGCAAAGTTGAGTAGTATATTAGCTGGCGTGCCTACCTCGGCGAGTGTTGATGGGTCCTCCCCGCATGGCCAGGACCAGTTTGAGGGTGGCCCCATTGTGGATACTGTAATCATGCAGACAATACTCATCCTCCAGCTCCACTGACTGCCAGATGAGATGCTGATGGGAGATCGGGATGCCTGTAACAAGATGCACCTTATGCATCACAAAATACAAAACATGGAAACACTCTCCTATCGACACTTACTGATGAAAGAGTTAGACGTTAGTTAGAATTTTCACTTGTCCTTCAAAACAAAATATGTGCTTAAAAGGTACTAACATGGTATAATGGTAAAAGTGAAAGACTGCAGGTATTATCCCTGGTGCCTGCTGATTTAACAAGTCTTAACAGCTGGTCGTATGCTCATTTTGATCCTAAGTTCATAAGTATATAATCACGCACCATCACTTTTTCTGGTTCAATGTCAACCTGGTCCTACTGAATATTGTCAACTATATAACACCAATCTTCAATGCATCAAATGTTAAGGTTTTCTTACCCTTAGTTTTACCTCACTAAAATTCCACCACTTTGTCCTTTCATTTCGTAAGGTCAACAAAGAGACTGACATTTCATATTTTTACTGGCATGCCATGCCACTTTGACTTAAAAATCACTGTTAATGTTTGCTGACATTTGTAAGTGGACCCTGGTTCTTGTTGTACCCTGGCAAACGATACATTTACAGCCATTACTACCAAAGGCCAGTGAGGCTGTATAACATTACGTGAGAGTTAACAATTTGTTAACATTTGGAATGCCTGAAGAATGAGCTAATGCTGGTTTACAGCCGAGTCATCGAAATTAAAGCATCAGTACTATCCTGGCTCCAAATTCAACAAAATCATTCAACACTTCTCTATGTATGACAAAATGTCTAAGTTGTTTCATCAGGGAAAGACACAAGCTTACACACTGCAATCTCCCTCATCTGTGCATGTGGATTTGTTTGGTCTTAGTGGGATAGTTTCAGAAATGGCCTGAACACAAGGCTGTATGTTCAAACCTCAGATCTAAGTTAAACATTCAGCATAATACTTGGCAACATGCAAGTGATCATCAATGAGGTTTACAAATGGTGAACATGTCTGATGAACAATAAACCACATATTACATAAGACCACCCAGGTGAAACATACCTTCCTAAATCCCCTGACCACGCTAGGAGATGAGATCGATAGCTCCTCCTACACTGCTGGGATTGTGACCTACCACAACATGAGAAGTGCGTTCCTACTGACTGGGGCTCTACAGTTACAAACCAACATTGACGTGAAACCTACATGTATATTCATGACAAAACCAATGTGAGTTGTAGCAGTTTCCTAATGATAGGATATTCTGTATCAGCCCCTCCAAAGAGTCATTTTATTATGTAATAGTTCATTCAACAAAAACATCTCAACAGGAGTAATAGTCCCATTACTATGCAGTTGATCATACGACAGTCCAGAAACGATAGTCAGCCTAGATGACTATTGATCAATGAAGCTCGACACCCCCTACTGAGTGGGTACAGGCAACCGTAATGAGGATTTGTCTCAAACAATGAACTAGCCTCACGACAACACAGTGGCCACACCAGTTATTGTGCTTCCCTTGGCTTAAATAGCCATATGATATAGATAATATGTCTCCTATTGTGTAGATATAATATGTTCCATTTCCTAATATTAATTAGACTGATTAGATTAGACAAGGTTAGATTGAGAACACAATTTCAACAGATTTCCTTCTTTATTATGTCCATCAACTAGATTTTGATATGAAACATTATCTAATTTGTTTCCGGAACACTTTATGACAGTTGCCTGGACATAGTAGAAATCGGGAGTAGACAATCCAGTGATTGACCGTAACAGCATCCCTTTAATTGTCAGGATACAATGATATGCAATCACAAAAGGGAAAAATTGTCTGTCCACTGAGTTACTAATTTGCCTTTTACGATAGACACAAGTTACAAAGGTGTTACAAAATATTACATAAATATGGATACAGGACAGGAACAACACTATATACATGTAACCCTATAAATGGAAAGTTACTGAATCCTCGGTCATCAGTAAGCGTGTTATGTTTTCAAAGCTGAAGACATAGATAATTACTGACATGATTAATCAGCAAAAACAGTTCCCCCTTCCTTTAGTGTCAGTGGGTTTCTCTTCCTGTAAACTGGGGAAACTGACACACACATAACACAAGCATCACCATCACCATGGTTACAGTCCCACTAATACAAATTGATTGCTTTCCAGACACATCCATGATTTATCAGCTGATAAAAGCAAAACATACTCATACTAAAATTGACTTCCACAATCTTTTCAGGCCACAAAATAAACACACAAATATGATATAGGACTCCTGTTTAATGTTCTCTTTAAAACAGGCTGACTATAGGTAAGGAAAGAGTGAAAAGAGTCATTAAGTACAGTTGAATTCTCTTTCAAATACATGGTGACTATCACGGCTGTCGGAGTAATAGCCTGCCTGGTAATGTCACTAGTCCCACAGATCTACAATCACAATCCTAGTGCGATAATAATGCCTTGATACACGCTGCTTTCAAAGAGTCTCCAACCTTTGACAGACGTAAACACACACCTGGAATGATCTCCATTTGATTCCAGGCAACCTAGTGAAGGGTGGAATTAGGAGGGAGGGACGAGTGGGGGTGCAGCGCCAGGCTTCTCCATACAGCCCTTACACTTCCTATACCAGACACTCCAGGGGACCTTCCCTCTGCAGGGGGGGCATTCCCACAGACAAGCATGACACCAGTCAAAAAAAGATTGTTTCAACATGTCTAACCTGTAAGCGTGACTGATAACAGCTGATAATGAAGGTATACAGCATGTTACTTCATGTTTCAACAGAATAGTGGAAATTAAGCATTAAAGAGATAAAAACTTTGTCTCCAATCTGATTATATAACTATATCATATTTTGCATTCACGCAGTAATATGGTATACAGTCTGTGCCAAAAACATGACGGAAATAATCAGGTTGTTTGCATAGTTGCAGTAGATTTGGGTCTTTGTTTGAGGACTGATATTCGTCACAAGGCCAGAAGAAATTTTACCTGACTCAGGCTTCAGACTAGAGGTTGAAGTCAATGATCTGTAAATGAAACTGACGAGTTTATATAAAATGTTAATTAGCTAATCATATTTACATCATCTGACAAAGGGCAATTAAGCAAGATAATGTGATCATGGTGATCAATAGCTGGAAATTATGAACAAAGGCATGGAGGCAAAAGTAAAATATAAAATAGTCATTAAAAGTTCAATAACACCTAATTTTATTTATATCACTATTTCATCAGTAATATGAAAAAGTTATAGTTATAAGAAAGAGTCAGGTGTTTTTAAACTTGTTTTGAGGAGTATATCAGAGCTACAGATAACTTTTTGGGTCATTGAGTTATGTACGCGCTTGTGTTCATCTCAATTGGGTATACTAATTTTTCTTTGAGTAACCAAATGAATTGTACCCACTTCACTCAAACTCAGTTGGGTAGTTTGTCATTTTCCATTAATTGTAAAAATATAACATAGTTTAAATGTTGGTTTAGGTGTTTGTTGTTTATATTTGATCTGTAATAAGAGAAACGATAAGAAAGACTGCAAGTTGCCGAGTTCATCTGCTGAAATAGAACCTCTCAATATACCTTAACATTTTTGTGTGTACTCATGTAAGATCACATTTATTGAGTATTTACAAAAAATCAAGCGTACATGTACGCAATAGACATAATAGGAATTGAGTTTTCACATGAATATTTGCATAATTTACGCAGCTTATCTGTTCCTCTGGTATATCTTGGGCATCCATGTTGCAGGAAACTTCAAGCATCCAAGGGTAATTTCCACAAGATGGGATGTAAACATTTAGTAACAGGATGAACAAAGTGTGTTGTCATGTAGGAGATAAAAAACAACAACAATTCCTTATGTCTCTGTTGAACAAGGCCATTACTGAGCAGGAACAGAACCCATAACCAGGGATCAGAAAGTAACTTGTGTAACATGTGAATACCCTCAAGCTAATATATCCCTGGTAGACCATGGTATACAATTTGTGAATACCATTTCATTAGCATACCATTCAGAAAGTTCATTGTTGATAACAGGAAATGTTTTCAGTTACTTCCTTTAGCAAGTTTCCTGCTATGTGCCGAAAACAATGTGGGTGAAACAGACAAAGGGTCAATATGTAGAGTATTTCAGTTATATTTCAGTGTGTCAGCTGTCATGCTGGTCTTAGAAGCTTACCTATTCAACGAAACCCACATACACAGGCATTTCTTGAAACCAATCATAATCATCAACAAGTTTCAAAATCAAATGATTAGTAAACAAGGTACAGGTGACTAGAACTGGAAAAGGCCAATTGGCAAAATTCAACCTAAGTCTTATTCAAAAAGGAATGCAATATCATGATCCCAAAATTACAACAAAAATGCTCCCTGACAATGCCTTGTAATATTGTACATGAGACAGACAATCCTTTTCTTTACAGGTCATGTGAATTATGACCATTATGTGACAAACCATCAAACTGTGTTGAACCAACACACTGACCTCTGTTGATCAGGTTTCATGGCTCCGTGCCATATCCTTTACAAAAGCTACCAGTAAATATATAGTACACTTGGCCTTAAGTAGCCTCCCCTGACAAGGATTGAACAAAGAAGTGAAGTGACACCCAGTGAGCTGACCCACTCTTCAGTGCTCAGAGCAGTGATTACATCACAGAGCCCCATATCAACAGTTGTAGTAATCCAAGTATACCAGGGGAACTAATCTGCCAACACAAGATCTTCTTAACATATTAATCATCAGAATCAAGGATCTGGCAGGTCGGGCAGGTATCGCAGGAGATCGGCTCTACTGGGATAATCACGTTAGGCTAACTATGAAAAACTTGTGTTGCATAAAAGTTTATTGCAATCATGTGGAAATGGGGGAATCAATTAGGTGATCTATTTATCACAGCCATTGAGAAGTTCTACTTAACCATGTGTTAACACTGCCATATTGACCATCTGTGCTTATGAAAATTGCATGAAGCTGTGATAAATTGCTTCCTTCACACCCGCTATTCTATAACTCATATAAATATATGTA